AGGGTTTGGTGGGGGGGGCATGAAATTTGGGGGTGCATGAGGTTGAGGGGGGTGTCTGTGAGGTTAGGGGTTCTGTGGAACTTGGGGGTACAGGATTGGGGGGGGACACATGAAATTTGGGGGTGCAGGGTTTGGGGGGTCCTCCCCCCTCAGTGACATCCCCCAAAATAAACCACTTCTTAAAAACAAGACTTTATTAACCCAAAAAAAAACCCCTCACCATTGAGAACTGGGTGGGGGGGACACAGACACACAACAACAACAACCGCACCCCAAATTTAACTCATAACCACTGGGAGGGGGAGGTCGTGGCCCCCCCAAAATTGTTGGGGGGGAACTGACCCCCCCCCTCCTCAGCTGGGGCCCAGACACTCCACGATCCCATTGCCCTTGATGCCATCGAAGAAGAAGAAGTTGTTGTGGGGGGGGTCCCGCTGGGACAGGGCCTTTGGAAGGGGGGGGGGAGAACGGGGAAAGGGGGAATTCAATTATTGGTAAATTGGGCTTTGCCCCAACCCCAAATATTGGGGTTTTTCCCCCAGAAAAGCAGGCTGTTACCTTGACAACCTCCTGGCCCAGGACGCCTCCCACCACGGCGCAGACGGGGGCCATTTCGGAGAAGCAATAACTGAAAAAAATAGAGAAATTCAACACTAAAAATAACGATTTTGCCCCCCAAATCCATCCCCCCGAAGGAGGGGGCGGTGACAGGGACAGGCCAGAGCGGGCTTCGTGCCTAAAAATAACCCCCCCCAAACCAGGGGGGGGACACATTCCCTTCATTCCCACAGGCAGCGTGTGGGGACACGTTGGGGGCAAAGTGACCCCCCCCCGGGGAATGACACTGGTGTCACCACGGGCACCCAGAGCAGGGGGGGGGACGTCCCCAAGGTCCTGGGGAAGGTGGGGGGGATCCCTGGGAGCCAGGAGCCACCCCCCCTCAATCCCCGGAGACCTTGGGGAAGGTGGGAACGTCCCCGTTAATCCCCGGTGAGGGTGACCTGGAGGAAAAGCAAGGCCAGGCCAGAGCGGGTCACCCCGGAGAACATTAATTAGGGATATTAATTAACTAACAAGAGAGCAGCAATTAAGCCCACCTGACAAAGTCATCCGGTAAGAGGTCAGCGCCGACCCCCAGCGATTCCAGGACGTCCCTGCGGAGCTGGAGCAGCAGCTCCGAGTCTCGGGAATAATTTTGGGGTGATGGATCCCGTCCGTTCTCTGTCCGGAATTTCAAGAGAACTGGGAGAGGGGAGAGGAAGAAGAAGAAGGAGGAAAAACTCATCTTCGGGCTGAGCCTTCATCCCGCCAGCATTCCCAAATTTCCTGCTGCCGGCAGGGAATCCTGGGGGATTCACCTTGGAGGAGGAAATAATCCGGAGCCGTGCGTTTGGCCGCCGCCGCCGCCTTCTCCCCGCTCCAGTCCACAGCCAGGGCCTCCTTCAGCCGGCAAAAAACCACCCGCTGCCAGGACAAAAAGGGGGGGAATTCAGAGACAATCCCCCCAAAATCCCAGGCAGAACATCCCCCCTTTTCCCAGGAACCCATAAATTTTCTGGGAACCCATAAATTCCCTCAGCGGAGCTTCCCATAGGGATCCATCCCAACGATCGGCGTTAATAAAAGTATCGAGGGGCGCTAACGACCCTCAGCGTCAGATTTTAGGATGGCATCAGGGTAAAATTACAGAATTTTGGGAAAAAGACTCTGGAATTTGGGAAACTGAGGCAGTATGGGCTGGATGAGGGGACGGTAAGGAGGATTGAGAGCTGGCTGCGAAACAGGACCCAAAGGGTAATGAGGAATGGAGCAGGTTCAAGCTGGAGGCCTGTCACCAGTGGTGTCCCCCAGGGGTCAATACTTGGATTTGTGCTGTTTAATATCAGTGATGGAAATCCACGTGTTTTGGGGGCTCGTAGGGTTTGTGAGTCCATCAGTTTTGGGGGTGCATCAGTGACCTGGATGAGGGGACAGAGTGTATCCTCAGCAAGTTTGTTGATGATCCCAAACTGGGAGGACTGGGTGACACCCCAGAGGGGCTGTGCCACCATCCAGGGTGACCTGGACAGGCTGGAGAGCTGGGCAAGGAAGAACCTCATGAGGTTCAACAGGGAAAAGTGTAGGGTCCTGCACCTGGGGAAGAAGAATGTCAGGTACCAGTACAGGTTAGGGGTGGACC